TATATATATATATATATATATATATATATATATATATATATATATATAACATTCATCAAAGAAAATTATGAGAAAATGAATAGTAAATGGGGACTTCAGCACTGTGGCTAATAGACTGATAGGGTTAAGATAGTTACAGTACTTTCGACTCTGGCCTTCTCATCATTTCTGTCATCCAGATGAAGAAATTCTGGCATAAAGAAATTACATGGTCTAGAATAGCACTTTAGGGAAATAGGAAAGACATCATAAAATTCACAGCCCCTGAATTCCCAGACTGTTCCTGCATTCAGACACACTGCTTCTATTGTTGCTCTCCAATGCTTAAAAACAAAATACCCTGTGTGTATGAGGGAAAGAAAAATATTGACTGACCACCTAGTGACAAGAAATACATTAAAAAGTTGAGGCTATTACGCTTACATTCCAACAGGCTGGAGGCCATGTCATGTGTATGTTTTGGTAGGTGCTAGAAGTGTTAATACAGGTTATTTACATACTTGAATAACCCAGTCAAATCTAACACACTGTTTGACACCTACTCTTGGCCACTCTGGCTCCCACCTTCTCTTCCTTCTAACTCTTATTGCACTTATTGCCTGCATTCAGAAAATTAACACGATGTTACAGAGTTTGGCTTGTTCTCGAGTTGATTCACGTATGCATGTCTTATCCTGCCTAACCCAGGTACCCTCAATCCCAACTTTCCTTCTACTTCTCTTCCTTTTTTCCCCACGTGGCTCCTTCTTCCCTGGTTACAAATTTTATCAGGTTTCCTCTACGCTTAAAGATAAAATGTATTCCCTCATCCTTGTTACCATTTCGAGCTTCTGTCCCTTCTCTACTTCCAATGACCATACAGCATCTCCAAAACTTCCACACTTCTTGCCTTCCCTTGAACTCTGGCCCTTAATAGCTAGCTGGGATGGTTTTTCAAGGTCATTGGTATCCTCCTAACTGCTAAACTATTCAGCCTTTACTCAGCCCTCTTCCTTCTCTTCAGCATCTTTGCAATACTTGGGACCACAGACCACCCAGTCTATTATTAGCCAGCTCTGAACTGGTCAGACCACGTTCTCGCTCCTGTGCAAGCCAGAAGGGGCAACATTAACACCCTAGACCACAGGTTGGCAAACTATGGCCCGAGCATCAAATCTGCCTCTATGTTTGTAAATAAAGTTATTCTTGGTCACGACCTCGCTCATTTGTTTACCTATTGTCCATGGCTGCTTTTGTGCTACAGAGACCATGTGGCCCACAAATCCTAAAATATTTACTATCTGGCCCTTTACAGGAAAAGTTTGCTGACCCCTGCCCTAGATCATCTTTGAAAAGCTAGCTATGGATGAGACACTCCTCATTTGCAGCAATCATCTTATAGTCCCATGGCTCATGAATTATCTTTAGATAACAGCAGTAGCAGCAGCACCGTTCACAACGGGGCACTGTACTGAGGGCCATGTATGCTACAGCGCATGTAATCCTCACAATAAACGTGTATTATAGGTTCTCATTATCCCCATTTTACAGATAGGTAAACTAAAGCTTCCATGGGTTCAGAAACTTGCCCAAAGTCACAAAACTAGCAAGTGGTGGGGCTGGGATTCAAATCCAAGCAGCTGCAAACAAGAGTCTGTGATGTTAACTGCCATTTCATCCCATCCACCTCCAGGTTTCACACCTAACTCCTATTTTATCTCAATATTCCAGACCTTCCTAGACCCATCTTTAAATGCCATAAGGATACAACTCTCAGCATCTCTGCCAGGTATTCTTGGCTTTCTGCTTCCTCCATGGGAGAGGAAGTCTGCTTGGGGACTTGCTTTAAAGCTGTATTTGCATAGCAAGTGTATTATTCCTAGTTAGGTTGTATGTTATTTGGAGTGACTTGGGAAGTTAACAGAGATGATAGGAAAGGTGGTACCATCCCACTTCTCAGCCATCATGAAAGAGTGAGATGGTAAGCTCCTTGAGAGTATGAGCCGTATCTTACATGCTTTTCTTTACAAATGGGAGAGCGGATATTAAAGAAATAGCCACAAAATTCTCTCAGGACGTCTTCTCCTAAACCCCACTGTTTGTTTTTTAAAAAGCTGATTGTTTCCAATAGGAGGGCTTTTCCTCAAGACAAGCACCAAAGGCAGTGCTAATAGCACCTTAAAATGGATATGTCATTTTATAGCACACAAATGCATTTATATACATTTCCTCACTTAACCTCATTTATTTAAGGAAGGAGATGCAGGTATTAGCATCCCTTTACATATGGGGACATCGAGCTTCCAAAGGTCCACCAGCAATTTATTTCACGTAGGAAAATCGTAAAGCACAGCACTCAACTCAGGTCATGACTTAGGGGAGGGGCATATCATGATTTTTAGATTTGTTTAGAAAACTGACAGAGTTACCATACCTGATAAAAGCCCAATAAGTAGCATCAACAACCAGCCAGAAAAAGCATCACTCACACTGTGAATTAAGGCCCATGTTGACTCTTTGCTTTTATTGGTAATCTAAGGAGAAATGAGAAAACATTGATACACTCTACACATACCCTTGCTTTTTCACCTCAAAATGTGCAATAGCATAAACGAACACAAAGACAGATCGACTCATTGGGAATAGAGACCAATTTAGAGTTACTTTTCAAATAATCTTTGGCTGAACCAATGTCACCAAGAACTTTGAGGTATATTGACTACTGACTCCCAACTTCATCTACCACGCCTGTAAATATCTTACTCAGGCCTTCCCCATTCAGCTGCTAATTTCTTATAGCATCCATCTCTTTCTGCCCTGGACACCAGGTACTCCAAGGATGGTCTCTTGACTAACAGCAAATAGTTTGATTGTTTTTCGAAGAATAAACACATATAAGCTTATTTGAGTGGTGAAAGTACAATTTGAGGTTTACTATCCAGAGCTGGGCTTTAGGTCAGGCAAATTTTCAGACTTGATCCCACAAACCCATAACTACATTGATCATAGATATTAAATGATAACAGGGATGCATCTCTTTATTTTCAAAGACCTGCTGGGACTATCTGAGGCCATCAAGGGGTGCAGAAAGTTTTACCTTTTAGGTCCTGGCCTTGTCAATTTAACCCTTTAGCGCTCACATTTCAAAACCAAGCATTCTGATAGCTTTGTCATTGGTACTTCCCCCATTTCTGTGCCTCTAATTCTTATCTTTGAAACTGTGACTTAGCTACCCCATCTTCATCCACAGCAACATCACAAATAATTATGATACATTATCATAAAAATTTTAAAGCAGTTAAATATTTCACCTTGAGGAACATTTGAGATCTTGCTCCCCAGCATATGCCATCAGTTTGGCTCAAATAAATACTTACAAAAAATTTCATTTTGACCTATAATTTCAAGTTTCTATCTTAGTGCTGAAAGTAGAAGAGGTGATATTTTTTCCTTGTGACAATGTTGCCATTCTTATGATGAACAGTTAATGCTAAAAAAAAATCTCCCTTGAATATTTGATAAACACATTTTAATTGATTTTGAATTATTATTCATTGGCATAATTTGTCTCAGACACAACTGTTTTCATATAATGGGGAATATGCCCCTGTCCTATCATAGGTGACTTTCACAATGTGAATAACATTGAATATGCAACTAATGACAAACTGAACTCTGAATTACAGAGGGCAGAAATTCTATAGCCATACAATTCCAAAATTTAAAGGCTGCTTGTTGAATTGATAGGGTAGATAGAATATGCATGTGTTCCCAAATATCAGAAACCTTGTGAAAAACAGAATGTTATATAAAAATCACATTTTTACTTACAATAAGAAAACTCAGTGGGATGATAACAAATGCAGGGATTGCAAAGGAATTTCTCAAAACCTGTACCTGGGACAACCTGACTCCTAGGTTCAGGTGGTCATAACAAAACCAGTCCGGAGCTGGGAAAGGCTTAAGAACAGAAAGTGATCTGCTGAGGAGATTCACTTGGCTCTGAGAGGAGAAAATCATGAACTCAGGAGAGAATGGGGTCAGCTTAAAAATCAAATTTTAAATGTGGAGTCCAAGCAGAAATAGTAAGAAAGAAAAAACAATAATACCTACTGCTAGTTGAAGATATGTCTCCCCAGAAGATCATCTACTGAATCAGGGTCACTGGGGCCCTGCCTTTTAAATAAGCTCTCCATGTGCTCCTAACACAAACTAGAAATTATGATTCCCTCAGTTAAATGATCCACGGCAACAAGTTCAAGGCCAATGAGCTTGGTGGACTGCTCTGAGAAGTTTTAACAGTACTTTGAAAAGAGAAAAGTGGGGATCACTCTCTTGTCATATTCAAAAGAAGCTATGTCATAGCCATAAGTACCATCTATACTACCTATCATATTAAATCACTCTCCTTAATTTGAATTTAATCGGTCTTGTTTGAGTCAAATGTACAAATTTACTTTTAGTACACGAGCTATAATCACAAAAAGTGTATCCTGTGTGCTTCAGTCAATACTAGGGGTCTCAGATTCTTTTCTTTTATTCCTTTAAAAGAAGCCCATTTACTTTTCTTAGTTCTAAAAATCCTGCTTCAAGGGAAAACCATAAAAGGGAGATAAAGTGGCAAAGGAGAATCTTTAAAATTTATTCTGGTCCCTCCCACCAAGTTTGTTTTCACCTGTCTGCATAGGCATTTATACTCATTTCAGGGCTAAAAGGATCCTTTTTAATCACTTACTATAGGAAGATAAATCATTATTAAATATAAGTTCTTTTCAAAATCATATACAAGATGCCTTAAAACTAAAAAAAAAACAAACAAACTCTACATTGCCAATAGAAAGCACATTCAGCCACATCCAGGTCTGAAGAAAAGAATATATATACACCTTCCACTTCTTCCCCTGGTATTTCTTAATACTTACTCTTGTACTGTCTTTCATCTTACCTCTCGGTGCCTATCCCGGTCCCGAGACTTCTCTCTCACCCAGTCAATTGTATTGAAATCATCATAGGTCCCCACACCAGGGATTGGCTCCTCCAAGAAGTCCATCATCCTATTTGAAGAACCTAGTCCTCCACCATTGTATGACTTGTCCTCTGTATTGAACAGGAATCAGACATTAGTACTTCAGACACTGGGCATTTTTAATACCTCCTTTCTGCACACCAAAGGTGAGCCCTTAAACTGTCAGATGACTACAGTTAGGGTGTGCTGACAAAGCAATAAATTCAGTCACCTGGTGAGAACATCCATCACATTCAGAGATTTCTGTGGTTTGGGCACAAAATGATGAGTGTCTTAAGGCAGTGTGAATGGAAGGGGACAGATGAGAGTGACAGCACAAAGGGAGAACTGACAGGAGTTGAAGTGCAGTGGGAAAGGATTTACGAAGCAAAGGACAGGGCCTTGGAGCAGCTTAGGAATTTCAGTTTCTGTTATGGAAGGGAGACAAAAGGGTCAAAGGCCTTTGCAGACATCACAGCAGAAAGCATTTTATATTTATGAGACAGTAATTCAACCCTAGGAGGTGGCTTTTGCCTGAGCGGGGACTCCAAAGGAAGCATGTAGGCCTCTTTGAGAGTTAAGCTGGCTGGAATGTACATACCTCCCCTCAATAGGTCGAAGACTTTGATCCCTGATGTAACAGGCTTGTAGAAACTTACTGAGTACATCAGAATGGTCTAAGATTTACAAGTAGAGATTTAAAGAACAGTGCAGGGCTGGCTCCATGATGATGTCCCTCCTTGATTCTTCAACCGGAAGAAACATATCCATTTGCCCAACTATCACAGTCCTGTATCTGTTTTGCTTTTAGCATTTCTATTACAATTCCTTATGCAAATGCCCTACCACCCTTTCTAGAATAGAAGTTCTTTGAGGGCAGCCCTGGATATGATTCATCACTGCCTTCTCCAGCGTTCAGCACCTGTCCAAGACTCAATAAATGTCAGCTGAACCAAAGTTTGTTAGATGAACAGTGGTGACGAGGGAGAAGTATTCAAACTCAGAAGTTGTATTCATACAAGGTATGAATACTTAGTATCGTGGAACAAACGTGTTCAAAATATTTCCACAATCCTCTGGAGGAACCATATTTTGCTGTTAAACACACAGTGTAAACAGTATTCAGGTATTCACGCAAATGCACACTGAGGAAAAATGCAGAGTAATGACATCACTGAACTCTAACAGCCAGAGCTCACATTTGCAGCATCAACCTTGGCAGGGACAAAGCTTTATCCAGACTGTGATGACTTCCTCTGCAGAGAAGGCCAAAGTGGGCCTCGGCTGACCCCCATAGCCCCCATCTTCACTCCAAACTTCTAAAATATGACTTGAGCACTCTCATAGGGTCAGTTTGAATTAACACACCAAGGTGTACCTGGTCTACAAATTTCAACCTTCCAAATACCTGATTCAGCATACCCTTCACAAGCAACACATACATTTGAAAGAAAATGCTCTGCAGAATCCAAACCATACTGAGGGTGAGGCTGGGGGGCGGGGCTGGAGTGGAGGAGGTGAACAAGTTAATCTTAAAACCTCTAACCAAAGTCCTTTCCCCATCTTCCAGCCTACCTGGCTGTAAAATGGTTGGCTGCTGAATCACCAGCCCAGCATTTCCTATCATGTTAGTGGCATGCTGATAAAGATCAGTGTTGGTGGGCTGTTTGAGAGCTTGGAGGGAAACAGCCAGCTAGGAAATGAGGGCAGAAAGAGAATCAAGTACGTGAGGAGCGGGGAAGAAAAAAACCAAGCGGTTTCAATTCTCAAGACAGCTGCTGACATGAACACAGGGCACCAAACAATCAGAAATGTACTTTGTAGAGCAGGTTAACGCTTCACTTGAATTTGCTGTGGTTTAAGAGTGCTCCTTTCAGAAGAAATTTTAAAAGGATTTTGAGAAACTGATTTTTAAAAGTATCCAATCTAATGTTACACTATAGATCAAATGCAGCCCCCCCCACCTGGAAGGATATTAAGACAAAATGAAGATCTGCAACAGCTTCCTAACAGAAAAGAAAGAATCCTCTTACATCACTAGGTAACACGAGCACTGCATCATCCTTCTGTGTGGAAAGTCTCCTGCTATAAACGCGAATCGCCAGGCAGCTAGCTCTGAAAGAGCAGGCAGTGATTAGAATCTGACAACAGACTGCTTGTGATTCTCCAGATTCCCTTCTCCCTGGGGTCACGCTTCGGTCCCTAGCCAGGCTCAAGTCTGCTTACCTTCAATCACAGCTTTCTTTTTTTCTGCCTCTAGGAAGAAATAACCTTGGCAGCCCACATTTGGTCATTTAGGTTGAGGAGCTTTTACAGAAGGAGCCCCGGTATGAACTGCTTTAGAAGGGCACTTGCTGTGTTCTCTGCCTTTCACAGGAACAAACGCCACCTAAAGAACCACCAGTGTTCCCCAGCGGTCAGAGTGTGATGTCACTGTTGGAATCACATGACCAGACCCTTGGACCAGCCTTGGAGAAAGGAAGATTTTTAATGGAGCACAGAAGCCTTAAAGATGTAGTCTCATCTAAACAAATGCCATCAAACTGGGGGGCAGTCAGGTCAGTTCAGAAAACTGGGGTCCATTTCCATCTGACTTATTTCACTTAGTGTAATACCCTCAAGGAAGAACAAAAATCATATGCTATCACACATATGTGGAATATAAAATAAACAAATGAACAAAACAAAAACAAATTCAGAGATACAGAGAATAGATTGGTGGTTACCAGAGGTAAAGGGGGGTTAGCGGGAGGGAGAAATGGGTAAAGGGGGTCAAATGTATGGGGATAGATGGCAACTAGTCTTTTGGAGGTGAGCACACAATAAGATATACAGGTATAAAATTATAATGCTGTACACTTGAAATTTATATAATGTTATAAACCAATGTTACTGCAATAAAAAAATTGTTTTAAAAAAAACTGGGGTCAAGACAAGCTTTAGTCTTCAGACCTGATTGAACAGAAAATCCAAGAAGGCAAAGTAGAAATCTCTGAAAGCATTTAGAGTTACAGGGATCCTAAGTATAAAAAGGAAACATAAATATAGAAGAGGAAAAAGGGTATCAAATATAGGCTGATGTATTATAGAAATGTACACTTGAAACCTATATAATTTTACTAACCAATGTCACCCCAGTAAATTTAACAAAATAAAAAAGTAAAAACTTTCTTAAAAATGCACTGAATAGCAATAACAATTATAAAATCTTACAGTCATAACACAGAGTGAAAGATCTCAGACACAATGGTGCACATAGCATGGTTCTATTCATGTAAGTTCAAAACCAGGCAAACCTAAATTATAGATTTTTGTATAAGATACAAATGTAAGAGACTATGTTAAAAAGATAAGCAAGAAAATGACAAAAGTAAAGACAGTGGCTACCCAGAGTAAGAGAGGGGGCTGTCATCTGGAGGAAGCACATGGTGAGGGTGGGGCTTCTGGAATGCTGGTAATTTTTCTTGATCTGAGCGTTGGTTACCTGAGTGTTGACATTATACTTATTCTTTAAACTGTACACACATTATTTAGGTCTTTCTATGTAAACATCATAGAGAAAAATATAAAAAACTGAACTGCACATGAAATGACTATATAAGGTTAGTTCTTTAAAATCACCTAGCAACTTTGAAAGCCCAGAATGCAGTCAAGAAAATGAGTTCTTTCTTAATATTAGTGGCTCTAGCCAGAAAGCAACATCAAATCTGATCTCATTAATCCAAACCAGGAAAAAGCGGTTATTTCAGCTGTGGAAAAAAATTCACTATTACATTTGCATTGTTTTAAAGGCTTTCCCTTCCCCAGCCCTATTCCGAAGGCAATTTTTAAGCAGGTCTTAATTAATTGGCAATATGGCCAGTCCAATAAAGAAGAATCAAACTGCCATCTCGCAACTTCCTGAGCGAATCCACAAGTCAGCCACTTTCAAACATTAATCCCGTCAGTGTCCTCCAATAAATCAGACCTAAATGGAGCCCTCTGAAATGTTGGGGTACTCTCATCAGTTCTTAAGGCCTAGTGCATCCTGAAATGTTAATATGACAAAATCTTATGAAATGTGAGGAACTTCAGGAATCCTGTATGCTTTCAGTCATCCATCATTATTATAACATCTCAGTTTCTTGATAAACTGATCTAGCATTACTGAAAAGAGTTAAAATAAAGTGGCAACTGATAGTATCGTGGCAATGAACTACAATACAAAGCTTAAAAAACAACAAAAGTTATTGTGTCCCAAGTGTGACTGTTTTATATATATCCACTTTTAGAAAAGAGTGTGTGTATGTGTATGTATGTATATATGTGTGTGTGTGTGTGTGTGTGTGTGTATATATATATATATATATATATATCTTACTTAAAGAGGACATGCCTAACTTCATAATCCTCCTTCAAAGTCATTCTTTATTAAATATGTATAGTATCTGAAGACCACTGCAGAATTCACTTACATTATTTAACAAGATTTATATTACCTTATTAGATTATTTTACACTTCAAGGTGCTATGTTTTTTGGTACCTGAAAAAAATGTATAGTTCTTCAACATACAGTGACTGGATTGCATAACAAGTACCATATTAATAACTTTGATGAACGTTTATGTGCTTTTCAAATTATATCTCTGTTTCTAGGAGAAGGACTTTTATTCCATGTAAATTTACTTCTTTGAAAACTAGAGGGCTGGTAGCTATGATGCAGCCCTCATACTAAAATGGGATTTAAATACAAATCAGATTAAGAAATGACACACTGGTATTCAAAATTTGACATGTTATATTTCTTTTACTCTTTTCTATCCTCTCCATTCCCTTCTCTGCCACATTTGTAATTTCTACTATATGTTCATTATACAGACTGCCATGTGTAGGTCAACTGATATTGCTGAGAAAATAAGACAAAGAAATGCTTATCAATTTTTAATGCATCCTATGATAGAAACACAGTAATATAGTTACTGGGGACAAGCAGAGTTACCTTTCTGGAACACAGACCTGATCAGATAATTTTCTTATTTCTAAAATGTGAGTGACTTCTATAGCAATCTTTTGAAACTTTCAGCATAGAAAGACCACTTAATGGGCATTTGG